GCTGGGTCGTGTCCCCGCTGCAGGCGCAGAATGACAGAGCACCTGCAGGGCTCGGTCGCACGGAGGATCACGGTTCAGTTCCTGAGCTCATGCTACACGCCAGGCACACGCACACACTGTGACCCTGGCTGTCTGGGAGGGCTGGGGCGGACCGTGGCGTGACCTCGTGGAAGTCCACAAACACATACGGAAAAGCTTTTTTTCTTTTTTTCCTGTCTTTGCTAAAGGGTATATGCACATACTAGAGAGATAGGAAGAGAAAAAGCACCCCCTGGGGGTGTCCGAGTCAGAGCCACTTTTCCGTTCTCCTCTGCTCCCCACTGCCCTCTAAGTGTGGCCGCTGCACTCCAGCCTGCTGGGACAGCAGCAGGGCTTCGAAGCCATGTGGGCATGCCAGTGTGGCTGAGCAGCCCCCTCTCCCAGAGGCTGGAGACATTTGCCTGGACCCAGGCCACTCCTGGAGTGGGGAGCGGGGCACCCAGGCTGAACACCTGGACACTGAAGCTCGGGAGGAAGTGCCCTCCCCCAGCTCAGACTCCACTGCGGCCTGGCTGTGAGGTCAAGATGGATTCCAGGTGGGGAGCAGGGACACTGGGCCAGACACAACCAGCAGGTGCCACCTGCCTCCCTCACTCACACTTCATCTCTAGGAAGAGGAGGCAAGACCCTGTGGCCCCCAACCCTGTCCTGAGGAGGGCTCTGGCTGCGCCCCGATACCCAGACAGGCCAGCACTGGCCAGAGCCCTGGATGACCCAGCCTGGGGGTGTGCAGGGGCTCTGGGGTGAGGACCCAGGGTGGTGAACAGGGTGTGGTGGCCAATGACAATGAACGGTGACTGCACGATGGAGCAGCACACTCAGTGCTTGGCCGCGGCGTCCAGACACTTGCCCGATGCCCTCTGACGGCTCGTGTCCCTGTGGACTGTGCAAGAGCCCGAGGTGCCGAGAGGGTATTGCAGGGGCTGGCGATGGCACGGAGCAGGCGTGCACTCTGCAGCCCAGCCGCGTGGGAGGCTCTGGGGGCCCACGATCCCAGCTGGCTGGGTGGCAGCATGGAGCCTGTCAGGGCTACGCTCTCTCTGTTTCCCTCTCTGTCTCTCTCTGTGTGCCTGTGTCTCTCTCTTTGACTCCGTCTCTCTCTCTCTCTGTCTCACTCATGGAAAAAATAAAGTAGGAAATAAGAGTTTGTGTTACAGACGAGAAGACCGAGTCTCCAACCAGCCACTCTAGCAAGAGTGAGAACAGGTGGAGCCCTGGGTGGGTCCGAGCTCTGCCAGTGTGGCTTTGTGCTCTGAGTGGGCTCTTCCCATGCGCTGCGCCTCAGTTCACCCAGGACCACTATAAAGGAATGAGCTACATTGCAGAAAGGGCTATGGCAGTGCCTGCCCGGACACCCTGTCCTCCCTGCCCCTTGGGGAGCAGCAGCCGCCAGCCCCCTCCTGCACCTGTGCTCAGGTCCCAGCGGGAGCAGGGGCAGTGGCAGCACCAGTACCGCTCACTAAGCTAATGAAGTCCCAAGTGCGTGAGCTGCAGAGCCCCCTGGGTAGCCCCCCGAGCCCAGGTGCCACGGCCCAGCACGGAGTCCATTCACTTGTTTTCCATGTGCAGCAGCCTGCCCTCCCATGTCCCCACCCCAGCTAGGCACCTGTCCCCAGGAAGGCGTTCATCCCCCGAAGGCCACTCCCTCATCGGCCCCATCTCAGGGACGCTGGCCTGTTCTGGTCTGACGTCTCCACTGGGGGTTCCGAGGGCACCTGATGAAGCCCAGCAGACTTGTGCCCTGTGCCACCTGGCGGGTCTGGTCACCTCCCCCACTAGGTGCCTACTGCACCTCCTCCTCAGGCTGCCCCCTCACCGCAGGCGGGGAGCAGAGCCAAGAAGCAGGCCGCTCCTGCCCCGGCCTCCGAGGGCCCCTGCTCTCCTGCACACCCACTCCTCTCCGTCTCCCTGCAGCTCGCTTTGCTTTCTGACCCCTCGTTTGTCGCTGGAACTCTTCCTGGTGTGCCGAATTCCTGGCGGCCACAGCCCTGCCTCGCTGCACGCTCAAGCCCGAGAATCGATTCGGAAAACGATTCGTTACCGTGTGGTGCTGCTGCTGCCGTGGCGCTTGGCTTTCCAGTTATTGATACATCATCGGAACTGAGCAGCGGCAGTCAGGCTGGGTGGGCGGGGGTGCATCCTGGGACGTCAGGGGCCCAGCTCAGGGCAGTACCAGCGGCTTCAGGTTGTCTGTGCCGTCCTCGTCCCCAGGCAGGTCGCCGTCTGTTCTGCCTCCTCCCTCCACCCCCTTTGCTGCCATGGCTGGGACGTTGCTCCTTCACGGGGGGCCGGGACGGCTGCTGGGCAGACGGGGTGGGATTCCTGCTTCGGCTGACAGACAGGGTCGACTTCCAGGGTCCAGCTGAGCATCAGTCACGTTCTCCAGGGACCAGAATAGGTGACCGGTGGGTGGCTCAAGAGCTGCTAGATAGGCTGACATGTGATAGGTCAGGAGGTCAGGAGATGACAGACAGAGAGACAGGCACATGGTAAGGACTCAGCTCATGAGACTGTGGGGACTGCCACTCTGGAACCTGCAGAGTAGGCTGTGACCTTGGCAGGAGAGGACACTGATTTCGAGGCAGAATTCTTATTTTCTAGGACACCCGATTTCGCTCTCAAGGCCTTCCGTTGGTTGGACAAAGCCCACCATGTGCCCTTTACCAAATTCCTTGACCGCAGGTACTAACCACGTCTACCTGACATCGTCATAGCAACACCCGGATTCGTGCTGGACTGAGCCCTGGGGGCTATGTCCTGGCCGGGTGGACATAGAAAACTGACCATCAAATGCCCGAGGCCCCCAATCTGATGGCCAGCCTCGGTGGTGGGCCTGGAGGCAGTGAGCCCGGAAACGGGGTGTAGTGCTTCTGTGTTTTTGGAAAACAGGCCCCTAACCTTTGTTGGGTTTTCAGTGGGCAGTAGCTGAAGGCACTGGGGGGCCTGCTCATGTCACCGTGAGCCACAGTGTGATTTTTTCTGCCATGGACAGGCCTGGGCCGGGCAGAGGCCTCAGGGGAATATGGGAGGGAGGGCGGAGTCCTCCTTGCTGAGCTCCTTCCTCTGCTGTGCACTCACAGCCCCACCCCTCCGCCCAATCCTCCCTGTGTGGACGGGGGCCCTCCCAGGTGGGAATTACTGTGGGGCCATCCTGACAGGAGGATTCAGGGGCAAGAGAGAAAAGGGCGCCCGCCCTGGGAGGAGTGTGGAAGGAGGATGGGCAGCAGGACCAGGGAGCGTGGTAACCCCTCACCACGAGGTGGTGCGGACCTCTCCCTGGCCTGGGCAGGCAGGCGAGGCTGAGGGCTGCACTGGAGCCTGGGGAGGGTGAGCAGGTGAGGGGCCCGGAAAGGGGTGCAGCCCATGCAGAGAGAATTCGAGCTCAACCTCTGGGCCTTGGGGGGACTGTAGGGTGTTAACGAATCTGTACTTAAACATCTAGCTCGGGCAGGATGGGAAACGCATCAGGAGGAAGAGAGATGGAGGCAGGGGGTTCGAATGGCGTCCTAAGCAAGAGTCCGGGGTCCACCAAGCTCTTCAGCCGTCGTCTTTGGTGGGCACCCACACCCCCAGACATGAGGGGGCACGCGGGCTCGGCGTGTGTGGGGAAGCTGCATTTAGGGGTCAATGCTGTCCAGAGATGCGTGGCATGGTGCTGATCCTTCTGGTGAGAAGGCTGTGGGGACACGAGGCAGGTGACAGGACAGCGGAGCCCTGGGAGCAGGGGAGCGACAGGGTGAGGGTGCAGGGGACCTGTCCGACGGGAAGAGGGAGGGAGCCACTTGTGTGAGGCCCTGAGACCAGGTTC